ACCTAACTTTAAAACATTTATATGAATGAATTTTCAATTCAATGGCTCTTTTCTTCCTGTTCCTTGATCATGAGTAATAAATAGACTTATTGCTTGTCTTCCAGGTTGACACTTCTCTCACCCCTTGGAATGCTATCTCGCAGACCTGGTTGGGAAACCCTGTGCTAAGGAAAGGGGGTTACAAGAGATATAGTAATGATTTTATTGGTGGTGGTGGTAGGGAGGGGCTTAACATTATCAGAATTCTTATTTCAAACTTCTAGTCTTCTTTCACCTGCATGATTGGCTAAGAAAAAAATAGGAAATGGGATAATGGGGGTAGGATTAGGGCGCTGTAGCTAGAAGAAACTCGCCAAGAGGTACCTGAATTACTCCACTCGCATTTCTAACCTCCTATTGATAGCCAACAAAACATGAAAACAGTCTGCCAGTTTTTGCAAAACTACACTTAACTAAGCCAGCTCAGACTGTACATCAAAATTGTAAATACACTTTAAAGAATGTCCTCAGACTTTAAGGGTTATGCACATGCAGTTGATATAATCATCCATCTCAAAGACCTGTCATGTAATGGCATAGGTTCCCATCCTATCAACACCTTGAAATCAATACTCACTCATATTTCTCTTATAAATCATCACTAGGAGAGAGAAAGTCCAGGCAAAACCCACCTCATGATTACAACCAGGGCACTTATGGACGGGAACTTTGTGAATGAGCCGGACATGTTGCGTTAGCTTGGCTTTCTCTCTGTATCTAACGTCATCACATTGCTGGCACACATAGCAGTAGATGGAGGGGTGAACATCGCCACGGTGTTTTAGCAACTGCTTTGCATCATCAAAGACCTCCTTGCAGATTTCACACGAGGAAATATTTCCCTGAAAATAAATGAAAGACTTTACTACTTTGTTTTTACAAAAATAATTATATAGAAATCTGTGTACATATGAGTTTATCATAACGAACCTTACTAAAAATACATAAACACATACACACACTACACGATTCAATGATTCAAGTGTATAGGCCCAATTCATTCAGCAATAATCATCTTACCAATTTTGGCTTGCTTTCCTCAGTCCATTCTTCATCTTTGTCGGCTTGTTTAAGGATTTTGTCTTTTTTAACATCTTTTTCACCTTTCAACTTTTTCTTGGGATTTCTCTGTGCTTGCAAACAAGCTGTGAGAAGATACAAGATACATATTAATGAACAAAATTTACAAGTAAACTTGTATTATTAGATCTCTTATTAACACATTCCTCAAGAGAATACATTGT